ACTTCAGGCAGTCCTCTTCATAAATCTCACTGGAACGGCACCAAACAACAGTTTCAGCATCATCACCTTGTCCAATGCAGATTCTTGACTCATCACTGAAGATAACTTTCATCCAGTCATCCACAGTCCATGATTGCCTCTCCTTAGCCCATTGCAGTCATGTTCTTTTTTGTTTAGGTGTCAATGATGGTTTTCTTTTAGCTTTCCTGTATTGAAATCCCATTTCCTTTAGGCAATTTCTTACGGTTCGGTCACATACATYGGCTCCAGCTTCCTCCCATTTATGCTTCATCTGTTTAGTTGTACTTTTTCAATTTTCAAGACAAATGGCCTTAAGTTGTTTGTCTTGACACTTTGATGTCTTTCTTGGTCTACCAGTATGCTTGGCTTTAACAACCATTCCATGCTGTTTGTATTTGGTCCATATCTTGGATACAGCTGACTGTGAACAGCCCACAGCTTTAGCAACCATGTGTGAAGAGTTACCTTCTTCAAGATGTTTCACAATCCTCTCTTTTGCTTCAAGAGACATTTCTCTTGTTGGAGCCATGGTTCTTGCCACTCCACTTCGTCCAGCAGCCCTCCAAGGTGTCATGACTGCAGGTGTTTTTAACTGCTGACTAATGAGCAGATCTAATCTGAGGCAGGTGTCCATTTAGGGAAAGGAAATTGACTGGGTGTGTCCTTATTTTGTACCTCAAGTTTGAGTGATTCCATTTTTTTTTCTTCAGAATTGAGTAATTCCATTTTCCCCCCGTGCTTGGTCAATAAAAGTAACATTCACTGACTTCCACAATGTTTTCTCTTCATTTCTTTGAGTGTTCCTGAAAGCCAACAAGTTGCACTTTGGAATGACCTTATTATTGTATCATGTTTTTSATCTGAGTTTGTTTTACAGAATGAAACGTCTGAATGAGTGAATTTGTTGGAGACCCCTGTTGTAGATGCAACCCAACCTTATCCAAYTTTGTTAAGCATTTTGGAAGTAACTGCTTTGTTTCTCAAGCTACAGACTACATTCATAGTTGAAGAATGGAATCGTTGTTGCCTTAAACACAATAATTTTCCTTTTTAGCCACTTATTTTATTACCCCCTCTGGGCGGCTGTGGTGGAGTGGTTAGGGGAGTTCGATCCTCCAGCTGCTTCAGTCGTTGTGTCCTTGGGCAAGACACTTCACACGCCTTGCCTGCTGATGGTGGTCAGAGGGTCCGGTGGCGCATGGCAGCCCCACCTCTGTCAGTGTGCCCCAGGGCAGCTGTGGCTACAATGTAGCTTACCATCATCAGTGTGTGAATGTGTGTGTGAATGGCTGAATGTCTGTAACTGTGAAGCGCTTTGGGGTCTGGAGKGACTTGATAAAGCACTCTATAAGCTCAGTCCATTTACCATTTCTGAGAAAGCACACCTGTCTCAGCATATAGAATAGTTGTGGTCACAATATATAATTTTAAAGCAACTGTCTGATAATTTTTCGTTTCCTTCCTGGCAACCCTATCTGGCATGAAAACTACAGCAGATCAACACAAACATGCTTTTCTTGTTGATTTGCTACAATAAACATAAAAAAACATGTTTCCAAAAACCATTCTCGTGTAAACAGGGCCTTAGTGGAAGGTTAGGTTATAGCTGAGGAAGTTGATTGGCATTTCTTCTGGCAGGACAAAAGCTCAAMTGCATGTGTTAAACCTGCCTTTGTTCTGAGTGAATTAGAGTGAGGGTGGATAAGTGTGTTTACATGCTATTGATGCGTCATATACAGCCAGTTTTGCTTTTGTGTAGCCTGTGTGTGGTGACGACCACCTGTGATGAGTAAAAACATTCTACCTTTGATCTCAGTAGATTAAAGCATCTGAAAAACAGGCCTGCTTCAAAGGTCAGTAAAGGTTCTGCGTTTCAGAGGAACCCTGTCTTTTAGCTCCTTTCAGCTCAGATCAGTTTTTAAAACCCAGCTTTTGTTTTGAGAGAATAAACCACCTGTGCTCTTTAATCTGGAATATTCTCCTGTGGAAACTGAAGGTGCTCTGCTACTTGAAATGTCCTGTTATTTCTCTTCAGGTTTGACATCTGTTATAAATAACATCCAAATCAGGTGAACAGTGTATGAATTACAACAGTTTGTARACAGACCTCCCACTGTTTAGGGACCAAGAATAATGGAAATATTGGGTGCTCAGCTGTGCCATGGTCACGTGTGTTTTATTCCCTCATTATCAGGAGTGAAAGTAGTTTTAAATTGTTGTCGRTACTATGACAAAAACTGTCATTGGTTCAGGTGAGCCACACATACATAATTGATATATTTAATGCCTCTGACATCTTAAGAATCTGCACCCTGATATCTAGGACATTTGTTTTGGACTGGTTGTCCTTATTCACAGAGGTTTTATTTTTTACTTTAAGTAAATTTGTATTTTTTAGCTCTTAGTTTTTAAAAACTATGTTTTTATACAAGGTTCTAATAATCCWAAAAWKCTAGGGGAAATTAAAATGAGCACAAAGCAAAARCTTGGGACTCAAAAGGATAAAACTGTGAGGCCACCAGTTTTTTAGGGGTAGGGAACATAGAATCCTACTTGAAACAGCTGTCTAGGCTAGCTGTCTAAGGCTAATGCTACTGTATAAGTAGCATAAAATTGTTATTCACGTCAGTGGTAATGACACCTGGTTAAACCAATCRTAGATCACTAAAATGAATGTTGATTCCATGTCTAACTTTGCAAAAAGTATGTCGAACTCTRTAGTTTTCTCTGGTTTCCTCTCCAAACAGACCAGCGATGGCATTAGTCACATCTCTAACCTAACTATCTAACCATCTAACCTAATTTCCCTCTGGGATCAATAAAGTATTTTTGAATTGAATTGAATTGAATTGAATCTCATCATTCAACCACTGGGTGTCCAGGTGGTGTTCTGAAAACGTGGACTACATAGAAGTGCTTTTTGGGGAAAACCTAGTCTGATAGTTTAAGCATAGCTTTTAGTAATTTAATAGTCAATTGGTTTTACCCAAAATGTTCACAAATCTATGTTTCCTATTATTCAGATAACTTGATACCCATTAGTGCTAAACCTCTAATGTTATATGTATTCAACTTTTTAATAAGAATGTCATGGCCACTACTGTCAACAGCCTTCTTTAAACCAACAAAAACAGCAATAAAGTGCCCTAAGATGACATACAGTATGTTGTGACTTGATGCAATTGAAATAAACTGAATTGTGTGTGTCAAAGTCAACAATCAGAGAAAACTTGACCAGCGTGAATATAGAGGCTTCGCCACATGATGGAACCCATTAGGGAGCCTCAAAAACTGGAAGGTTGGGTTTGAATCACCAAATGTAAAAAAAGCCTTTCCAATTCTGGAACAACTTCCTATGACAAGATGAGACAAACATCAACTTGTACCAGAGTGATGGGAAGACAAGAGTCTGCTCCTGATCYACAACACACCACCTCATCAGTGAAGCATGGTGCTGATAGTGTCATGGTGTGAGCATGTATGACTGCCAATARAACTTAAGTTTTGTTATTGATTAGCTGTGGTGTTACACCTGTGATTGTACATTGATCTGAGCACGAGTCAGTAAARGKWAGTGGGTWTGTTGCTGCCATTTCACTKAGACCAAAAAAGACTKTCATTTTCCTCTGTCACGAATGACYGGGCCAATGGTTATCCTTTCTTTAATATGGCAGCTTCAACAGAACTAGTTCCCTTGTACTTAATGATATGCTGTCTGAAGCATCAGGAAGAATTCCGACGCATTTCAGGCAATATTAAAAGCTCATAGCAGCCAAATGCTTTAGAACTCATTGGACGGAGCTTCACATTGTAGATGGACAGTGATCTTAGGCAGACTGCCAAAGCAAACAAAGAGTCCTGCAAAACAAAGAAGTGGAATGTTATCCCAAGTCAATCACCTGACCTGAATCCCACTGAGCTGCATTTCACTTGTTGAAGACGGAACTTAAATTTCTAAACAAAAAGATGAGAATTGTGTCCATGTCTCAGTATTTATGGACCTGACTGTACAACAAACATTAAACCAAAGTATAAAAACTTTATCAATCAGGTTTTATTATCTTTAACTTAAGTGTAAAAGGGATCCCCAATTAGTTGTAACATTAGACTTTATTTGATAAACATATATTTTAACTGTAAAATAAAGACTGTAAAAATACTGTATGCTGTTTAGTTTTTATCATTTTTAAACTAAAAGTTTAAAAATATATTACATGGATGGCACCATTTTAWTTAAATACAAAGCATTCTGGGTAAATGATGACGTGGATAGGTCCTCGGTGCGAGGCTGCWAGCGAGCTATATCCACCCTGAAGGTTAATCTTGGACAATATCTGATGATCGACTCTTTTAAATGAAACCAGAGAGCGTTGACAGAGAGGAGAAGGTAGAAATGACTCAGCCTGTAACTGAACATATGGATGGAGGACCTCAGTTTAGCTTGTTAGTTTGTCGCGCTAGCACTGAGCTAATACAAGGCGATATAGCGTCAGTGTCAGCGCAAAGGCTAACAGGCGAAGCTGAGGTTCTTCTTCCATGAAGCAGCTCTGTTGTCCTCCATCCATATTTTCAGTTCCAGGCTGAGTCATTTCTACCTTCTCCTCTCTGTCAACGCTCTCTGGTTTCATTTAAAAGAGTCGATCATCAGATATTGTCCAAGATTAACCTTCAGGGTGGATWTAGCTCGCTAGCAGCCTCGCACCGAGGACCTATCCACGTCATCATTTACCCAGAATGCTTWGTGTGTACATAAATTGGCTCCGTCCATGTTAAAATATATATTTTAAAATGTACAAAACTAAACAGCCTACAGTATTTCTATAGTCTTTATTTTACAGTTAAAATATATGTTTATCAAATAAAGTATAATGTTACAACTAATCAGGATCCCTTTAAAGAGAAATACTCAAGAGGTAAATAACAGCTWTCAATCAACAGCATGCAAGCTGAGGTCAGAGAGGTTCAAAGAGCTGCTCCAGTCTTCTTCTTGGCTTTATGCTTGAGAGAGGCATGATGGGAACGTTTCTTGGCTTTGGCCCCATACCTGGAGGAGCACAGCACCAAGAAGTTCAGATGTGCAGGTGTGGATTTCCTGCTGACTGACAGGATGGTTCTGACTCACCCCTTCTTCCTGGCAGCGTCTTTGACCAGGCAGGACTTTCGTTTGTGCTGCAGGCTGCCGCAGTTGAAGCATCCCTCCTCCTCCTCACCTCGCCCGCACGGGTGGTCAGGGAGAGCACAGCGGCCRCAGGACTGACAGTGTTTCCATGCTGGGGGGGTACCAGTTTTACACATTTGTAAACAAAAACCCGTCAGAGCTCAAATGTATTCACAGATCTGATGTGAACTGTCCTTACATGGCTTCACACATTTCTCACATGATGAGCAGTGCTTCCATTCTCGGCCATCCTGCACTCACAAACAAACATCGCCACTTTATTTTATTATTACTGCATGTTTAACATATTATCATTTWATCTTATTACTGCATTTATAAAGTYAGAAAATACAATGTGAGGGCAGCAGCTTCATACCTTGGATGGACAGATGTTACATTTAGAACARTGTTTGTTCAGGTAACACACATATCTCTCACACACACAGCAAAACCTGCCCAGAGAAACAACAAATAAATATGCATCTAATATAAATTACTGAAGAAACTATAAAAACCATTTTTGTACAAACATCAGCATGAATTTAATCAAAATGATATCACTTGTATACTTCTTCACCTGATTTACGTGGCTGTTTCTGAACCTGCTGATAATGAAATCTGTCAAAAATAATAATAAACCCTGTAAATATAACAAAAAAGGGTTCATTTTTCAAGCAAGAAAGTTTTATTCTATGGATTTCCTGTCTGTTTGTTTTGTTGAAAAACATTATTTACTACATCTTTTGGAAATGGTTAGGTTAGGGTATTGTAACATACAAGATATCCAGAAAGTGTCAGCATTGTCTAATTTTTCTGCATTATGTTACACATTTATTCCAAAACGTCATTTGAAAAAAATCATATTTCACATTATTCTAAAATGAAAAATAAATAAATACATGAATAAATGTTGACAATTTTGCTAATTTATTCAAACTATTATTTCATATAAATATATGCAATTATGTCCATATCTATTTGGACACTGACAGTTTGTTTGTTTACTTGTTTACTGAAACATATTCAGGCTATATTAATGGACATGGACATAAAGTCCAGACATTCAGCTGTCATTTGAGGGTCTCCACATTAAAGTTGGATGAAGGGTTTATGAGCTCAGCTCCTTAAAATGTGCCACTTTGATTTTAAAGGGACCAAAAGTAATTGGACAATTGACTCAAAGGCTATTTCATTGGCAGTTGTGGGTAATCCTTAGTTATGTCCTTCTTACTGAAGCAGATAAAAGGCCTTAAGTTAATTTGAGGTGTGCTGCTTGCATTTGGAAGACCAGTATCAATATCCAAATCTACCATAAAGAGAAGGCTGCATGAAAGTAAATACAGAGGGTTCACTGCATGGTGCAAGCTGCTCAGAAGGCTCAAGAATAAAAAGGCTAGACTGGACTTTGTTAAAAATAAACATGTAAAAAAAGCCAGCACAGTTCTAGAAGAACATTCTTTGACAGATGAAACCAAGATCAACCTCTACCAGAATGATGGAAAGAGAAAAGTATGGTGAAGGTGTGGTACAGMTCATGATCCAAAGCACCACATCATCTGTAAAACACAGCAGAGCAGTGTGATGGCTTAGGCATGCATGGCTGCCAGTGGCACTGGGTCACTAGTGTTTATTGATGATGTGACACAGGACAGAAGCAGCCGGATGAATTCTGAGGTATTCAGAGCCATACTGTGTGCTCAGATCAGACAAATGCAGCCAAACTGACTGGTTGTCGTTTCATACTGCAGATGGACAAAGAGCCAAAACATAAAGCCAAAACAACCCAGGAGTTTATTAAAGCAAAGAAGTGGAATATTCTTGAATGGCCAAGTCAGTCACCTGATCTCAACWCAACTGAGCATTTCACTTGTTAAAGACTAAACTTCAGACAGAAAGACCCACAAACAAACAGCCACAGTGAAGGCCTGGCAGAGCATTAAAAAGGAGGAAACACAGCGTCTGGTGACRTCCATGAGTTCAAGACTTCAGGCATTATCAACGAAGGGTTTTCAACCAAGTACTAGAAATGAACATTTTATTTACAATTATTTCATTTGTTTAATTACTTTTGAGTTTCTGAAATGAAGGGATTGTGTTTAAAAGATGCTTTAGTTCCTCACATTTCTATGAATCATTTTGTTCAACYCACTGAATTAAAGCTGAGAGTCTGAACTTCAACTGCATCTGAAAGGCTTTGTTCATAATTCAATGTGTAGAGAACCAAAATTAGAAAAATGTCTCTGTCCAAACAGATATGGACCTAACTGTTAGTGTTCCAATTCAGTTTACACTGATATTCCCTCAAATGTTTCTTCATCCTGATTAATGTCTATCTTCAGATTAAACAACTAGAATTAAGAAAAAAAAGTAAATAAATAAATAAACTTTTGGATGCATTAGAAGGAAAATTACTTTGTTTTCCCAAAGACTGCAACAAAATTAAAATGGAGTCAATTTTTCAAAATTGAAATGTGAACCTTTTAAAGGTAAAGGCCCTTAAAGTGTTCATWTTAGGGATGCACAATATATCATGAATGTATGTATCATCATTGCGATACTCATATTCTAAAGGACTGCTTGGAGTGCAATTATTGCTAACAAAATGTATTTGAAGAGTTCTGAAATTGTATTTTTCATGTTAATGCAATATTTAGCAAGTAGGACTGAGTCTCACAGCAGCAAAAGCTCACACCACTCACAAATGACATGGCCAAAAAAATATGCTTAAAGGGATCCATGATTAGTTAGTACATTAGACTTTATTTGATACACATATGTTTTTACTGTAAAATAAAGACTGTAAAAATACTGTACGCTGTTTAGTTTTTATCATTTTTAAATTGAAMGTTTAAAAATATATTACACGGATGGGGTCATTGTATTTACATACAAAGCATTCTGGGTAAATGATGACGTGGATAGGTCCTCGGTGCAAGGCTGCTAGTGAGCTATATCCACCCTGAAGGTTAATCTTGGACAATATCTGATGATCGACTCTTTTAAATGAAACCAGAGAGCGTTGACAGAGAGGAGAAGGTAGAAATGATTCAGCCTGGAACTGAAAATATGGATTCATGGATGAAGAACCTCAGCTTAGCCTGTTAGCTTTAGCATTAGCCCCGATGCTATCACCATATATATGTATTAGCTCAGTGCTACACATTCTCCTCTCATCACTGAGGTCCTCCATCCACATGACAGAGAGGGGAACACAAAAATGACTCAGCTGAAAATATGGATGGAGGACCTCAGTTTAGCTTGTTTGTCGTGCTAGCACTGAGCTAATACATATAAGGCAATATAGCGTCGGCGCTAGCGCAAAGGCTAACAGGCTAAGCTGAGGTTCTTCTTCCATGAAGCAGCTCTGTTGTCCTCCATCYATATTTTCAGTTCCAGGCTGAGTCATTTCTACCTTCTCCTCTCTGTCAACGCTCTCTGGTTTCATTTAAAAAAGTCGATCATCAGATATTGTCCAAGATTAACCTTCAGGGTGGATATAGCTCGCTCACATCGAGGACCTATCTACATCATCATTTACCCAGAATGCTTTGTGTGTAGATAAAATGGTCCCGTCCGTGTAATATATTTTTAAACTTTTAGTTAAAAAAWTTACAAAACTAAACAKCCTACAGTATTTTTACAGTCTTCATTTTACAGTTAAATTATATGTTTATTAAATAAAGTCTAATGTTACAACTAATCAGGGATACCTTTAAGGTCACAGAGTAGGAGGTTCAGATTAGAAAGTGAAGAAAAAAAAGACATATTTTGCACCTGATATAGTCATCACAATCACTCCAAACATTCCAAACATTATCACCATTGCAAGATTTGCTAATATCATGCAGCACTACTTCATATTTTTAAAAAGTCTTTTAAAATGTTATGTTTTATTTCAGGCTGAGATAGACTGACTGTTGTGGACAAAGTACTATTATTGAGCAGTGATATAAGGTCTAAGACCCCCAAAGGAACATGAACGTATAAAGTTAAATTAATGGTCATGAAGGTAAACTAATGATCATACAGTTAAATTAATGGTCATAGAATTAAAGGGCAACACAAATGTTAAATAAAAGAATAAAAACATATTTGATATTAATTAAAACAATGATTGACTCATCAAAAAGATTTTGACAGACTAGTCTTTCACTGAATTAATCTTTAGATGCAGCGGTAATGTTTTTAAGAAGTTCTTGTAGAAATGTTTTATCTTGTTTTTATGATTGATGAACAGATATTTGGTTAATTAGCTTTTATCTGGGGAAAGGTCTTGCATTAGCTCCACCTGAACTGCAGTTTGATCTGAATAGTTTTAGTGTTGTGGAGCTCAATAAGTGAATCATGTAGAGCCTAAACTGGTATTCTGGACTCTTACTAAGTTCTACTGTTCTGGTTGTGAAGTGATGCAGTGGGTGTACTGGTACCTGTAGCCCTCCTCTTCAGGGAGAACCATGTGTTTGGGTGAAATGTTGGTGAAAAGTCTGACAGGAGATTGCCTCCTGCCCATCTTCCCATGTTTATACAGAGGATGGTTGTCATAGTCCACCTGGTTTGACATCAAATAGATTGAATCATGAATGCATAAAACAGTGTAATAACAGAATAAAAAACTTTATTTAGCTGTCAGGAAACATGGCTTCAGCAGGATGATTAATTAAGTAATAACCTAAGTAACAAAGGTCACATTGAGCCAATAAATAAAATGTATTAATGTACCTGGTGGACCTAACAGTTTCAGACACCAGGCAACAACTCTGCTCAGTGTCCTTAAAGGGAAAGATCAGATATTTTTTAAGTAGGACAAATCTTTCCATTGGTCATCATCAGTCCAGAAGCTGATGAGTGTACAGGTTTGTTTGGGCTTTTATTTTAAAGGAAGATGGTCAGACAGGGCAATATTCATTCTAACAACTTTAAAATCCTTCTATGTTTAAATATCTTATCAGATGGCTGCCCAGCCTGAGCCTGGTTCTGGTTCTGGTGGGGGTTTCTATCAGTTCAAAGTTGTTTCTTTCCACTGCTGAGAAAATTAGAATGTTGAMAGTCGGTTTGAACTGGAGACCTATTGATTTTGGAGAAATATTGGTATGTTATGTGACCCCTACTACAGATTGTTCTAATGATGAACAGGGTCCTGCTGGTACCTGGTAGTCCAACATGGTGAAAGACGGGAGACACTCCAGGATGCGAGACTCAAAGAAGTAGGGAAAGATCCAAATCATAGCCATCTGGACGTTCCTGTCACCTGAACACACACAGGTAAGACAAGTGAAAGAGCATGTTAAAAGCTGAGTGAGCTCTGCAGTTGTCAGGGAACAGTCCTGACCCTCTTTTATCCAATCAGCTCAAGTTTCCAACACATCAGATTGGGTTTCAGGACACTTACCCCCCACCTTCAGTAATTAGTACTGTCAACCAAGGGTTTCAGCTGATGCTGTATTAGTAGGCAAATAGACACTTGATTTCTAAAGATTTACAGTGTTTATGATCAAAATCAGGATATTTGTTGTTACTGTTTAAAAAAATGCTTCACTAATTTTATTCAAGATTACATTTTGTACAGTTCATTCAAATRATACACTGATAAGGTTTTTGTTCGTTAGAATTTGACAAAATGCAATTACTGCAAACATTTTAATCAAAACACTATCTGCCTATTTTCTCCACATACTGTACCTCTTTGGCACTTAATCCTCAGTTCAATATGAGTCATATATTCCAACTAGGGATGCACGATATATTGGCAATGATATCGGTATCGGCCGATATTGGCCATTTTTTTTAGAATATCGGTATCGGTCTGATATGTAAAACTGGGCCAATATTAATGTCCGATAGTGATTTCCCACTKTTTTGCTTTGTGTTTCTGTTTCTGGAGGGGAGATGGTTGGTTGAGCAGCATCTGTTTGATCATGATAGTGATATTGATGCTGTGCAGCCAGGAATAACTGAAGTAGGAGCCATGTAAGAGGTCTGGTTGTTTATTTATGGTACCAAAAAAAGACCCAAGTGTGTTTGTGCGTATAAGTATAATATAATTTGAGTGTTTGTGTAATATTGGTAAATATCAGTTATCAGCCAGAACAGCAATAATTATATCGGATATCGATATCTGCTGAAATTTTCATWTCGGTGCATCCCTAATTCCAACTTAAATTTGTGGAGGTTAAGTGTCCTATTTAGCTTGACCATGCATGTGTTGTGTTGTTGCAAGAGTACACYAGTTTAAAACTGTTAGAAATTAATAAAATGTATCTGTAGAACCTCATTCTAATAATGTCTCAGTCAAAAGGCCCAGGACTCAGTTTGACCCAAGGACAGCAGGAAGGTTAAATGTCTTAACCACAGAAAGAAAACTTTTGATCAAAAGCAAAGAGATGGTTTAAATAAAAAGCCGCTGACCAGAGTTCTGAAGCTTCGCCCAGGTCCGTGATATCAGAGAGAAGCTGTTGGCCAGAGGTTTCACCAGACCTCCAAACGGAGGGTCAGCCACCATCACCACCTCCTCCCTGTCCGCCTCCTTCAGGAAGGCCTCTAGGACTGCACTGGAGGTCTGACAAGACACAACCCTCCATCATCCTGAGCTCAACCAGAACCTTTACTTCCAGTCAAGCAAGGTCTCACCTGTCCATCAAAGAAGTGATGGTTGAACATGTTGTAGTGACAGAACTCCTCTGGGCTGTAGAACTGGGCGTACCTGAAACACACATCAGGTTCATATGATTTTAACTCACGATTTTAGGGAACAGGTCTAGAAAACAAGTTTGAGCTGATCTACCAAAAACACACGCTCCTCAGGTTGTGTGTGCAGGCTGCAGCTTGTAACACAGGAAGACTCCCTCTCTGCACACATTCTTAATAAAACCCAGCAGGGAYGCACACAGACAGCTCAGGTAAGACAATATTATCTGATTATCAGATTTAAAAACATTTAATCTGTTTATTCCTGATTTTATATGTGGTTTCTCTGCAGCAGGAAGTGAACAGATTGTTTGACATGAATCTGTTGAAGCTAAAGAAGTTTAATGTGTCCAACATTAATGAATAACACTCAGAGAAGTTGGACCTTTTTGCAGATTCAGTGTACAAAAAAATTATTCCTGTAAACTTTAATCTGAAGAGGCAAAATTAAGACWTTTCCTAAACCTGAGAAACTGGTTTCTTCACCTGAAACGAGAAAAGCAAAACTACAAATATTTTAAAGAATCTAAATGATGAAATGACCCGAGTAGATGTTTAACGTGTTCGTGTTCAGTTCRTGAGAAATGGCAGAAAAACAGAGGATGCGCTTCCATCGCCCTCTGCTGGTCTGATCAGTCTACTGCAGGCTGGGTTGAACTTCACTCCTCTGGACTCCAACACCGACGAGGTTGTTCAACCTTTCCCTCGATCACCCAAACTACAGAGGAAGTCAAACAAAGCCACTCCGCTCTCTCTGGTAAACGTTACTATCAGCTTAGATTGGCTTTATAACTTTCTTCTCTAAAACTTTCCAGTCTACTAATGCATAAACTGTAGGGGAGTAACAGTRCATGCATTTTTACAGTGATGATGATCACCTCTCCCAGAACAGTCAGCCATCAGTACACACTGCTTAGCTGAAAAAAAAGGTCACACTCTAATATTTGGTTGGACCACCTTTAGCTTTGATTACAGCACACATTCACTGTAGCATAGTTTGGATAAGATTCTGCGATGTCACAAGATTTATTTCCATCCAGTGTTGCATTCATTTTTCACCAAGATCTTTCATTGATGATGGTAGAGTCCGACCTTCTCCAGCACCTCCCAAAGATTCTCAGTGGACTCTGTGGAGTCAATCCATGTGTGAAAATGATGTCTCATGCTCCCTGAACCACGCTTTCACARTWMSAGCCCCATGAATCCTATAATTATCATACTGGAATATGGCCCTTTTGCAAGTGCAGCCTAGGCCTGAAGGCAACCTATTGTACATATTTTCGTTATTAATATCCCTGACATCAAGGTTTATTTTCTCACACCAGCACTCAGTCAAGTGTGTGTTTCATTTTTTTTGTTTGTTGCTTTAATGTGTTTTTCAGTTGCTTTTTATTTTTCATGAAAGCAGGGTTGATGTACTGAAGCATTTAGTTAATCTGTTAGTAATATTATCTGAATCTATTCCATGGCCTGTGAGCTCTTTTCTACAGATACAAAAACACAGTAAAGTATGACTTTTTTATTTTATAGTGATGACAAACCCTACCTGCCACCATACCCCCCCCCACCCTTCAAACAAAGGTCTTTGGGATCTCTGCTTCTAGAAGAGTTATGGTTTTTTGCTTGTGGTTAGCCCACACTGAACCGGGACCCTCGGACAGCCCGTTACCCCCCTTATAATCTATAAAACAAGAGCAAAAGTTAAAGCTGTCATTGGCTCATTATGGTCACCCTGGTAACCACATACCTGTGTCTGTCACTCCCTGGCAGCACTCTCAATAAGATGCACACAAACCCAGAATAGAAAGCAAACTTGATGAAACTCAGAGGACAAGTTCAGACCTGTCTGTTCATCAGAATGAAATATTTATCGACTCCCCCCCCCCCTCCCTCTCTCTCTCTCTCTCTCTGAACTCTCTCTCTCTCTCTCTCTCTCTCTCTCTCTCTCTCTCTCTCTCTCTCTCTCTCTCTCTGAATAAAGTGTACTCACAAACAAACAACTCAGAATAGTCGGCTACAAAACATGACTCAGCTGATTTCACTTACTTATTACAAACTAAGGTTACAAAGAGGTAGATGTTGGGTAGTGAATGATGCATATTAAGTGGTTATTTTTGAAACAAATAATATAAATATACAGAAATACTCTAACCAAAAACTTTTACAGATTTAAGTTGTGATACAAAAGATGTCTTCTTCAACAGGAGCAAATCTGCAGACGTATGGAGGAGCTGAAAGCTGAGAAAGCCAGAAGCCAGGCCCGAGTCCAATCTCTGAAGAAACACAAAGCAGATCTGTCTGTAAGTACTGAACCGGGCAGTACCAGTACTCACTGCAGCTGTACTGGTGTCAGACCGTTAACTAGAACTGATCCTCTCATAGCAGACCRTGGAGGCGATGAAGCAGCAGGTTCGAGAGTACTTTGAGAGCATGCAGCGTGTCCTGCAGCAGGATGAGCACACCGTCCTGGACTTTCTGGAGCTGGACCTCAAAAGAACAAAGACCAGGCTGGACCAGGTTCTGAAGAACTGGACGAACCACCAAGAACAAGTGTCAAAAAGCATCAGCAGCCTGCAGGAAGCAGTGAGCAGGAGTCCTACAGCAGAGGAACGTGGGACAGTATGATTCTAGTGCAGCAGATAATTGAATATTTTAGCAAAGTCTTTCCCATGTGGATAATAGCACCAAACTTGGCACAGATATTCCCAGAAGCTTTCTTTTGAGGAAAAAAACATTTTCCAAGCTGGCTGCAATTGTTGCAGAAAATTATTTTTTGTGCTAAATTTACCAATTAGATGAATGTGCTTGATGTCAAATCACCATCATCAATGTAAGATCTTGGCAATAAAATAATGCAACACTGGATGGAAATAAATCTTGAGACATTGCAGAAGTTTATAGAAACAACGCCAGAGAATGTATGCCGCAATCAAAGATAAAGACGGTCCAACAAAATATTAGAGTGTGACCATTTTTTTTGGGCCAAGCAATGTATAAAAGAACAGACATTGGGCCTCATGCAAGAACCGTTCGTACGCACAGATTTGTTCTTAAGTTGTGCGTACGAGTGATTTAGGAGAATTTGTGGCATTCACCAATGTTTTCGTATTCTAAGATTTTTTTCAGATTTTATTTTATTTTATTTT